AATTCGTTCTTATTGCGAAATAGGAGCACTATTTATCAATCTGTAATAAAAGACGTGAGGAAATTCTGTCTTTTTAAAGACAAACATTTTTGAGGCGAAATACCCAAAAAGAAGTTTGTAAAAAAATAAGATGCTGCTTTTGATTCCGCTTTTTTCTATTCTAACTTAATTTTAACGAAAACATAAAACAAACTTCTTCAAAAATATGGTAATATAATGAAGATTGTGCATTGTTTCGGAAAAGTACAACAAACAATTTTAAACACGTGAAAGGCAAAGATACTTGTGAGAACTAATATTTAGCATGCTTTCAAACTTATTCTCAAAATAAAATCCTTTAAGAGATTCCATTTTCTCGTTTTTAAACGTATGTTTTACAAAATGCCACGTTTTTTTAGATGATTTCCTCCATCTCCACATAGTAGAGAATGAACTGTAAAACTGATAAACTTTTTGATCTAAATTGAAAAGCTTTTGCAAAAGCATTCCATTCCGGGTTAAATAAATTACTCACTCTATTTACCTGCTTATTTTAATGCGATTAATTTCCTTTAAAACTACAAAATGAAAAATACAATTCTGCAGCCCCGGAGCGTAGTTAAAAGAATTTAATTTCAAAGTGGGTATTTGCATATTTAAATATGGAAATAGGATTTTCCGTGTGTATTGAGAATTTTGGGTTTGAAGCCTGGTGGATATACATACATTATTAATATCTGGGTAAGTGTTAGATAAAATGTAACCGAACATTCAGCTCCATTGCTAGATTTATAGGTTCGGTTATATTCATACACAATATTTAGTGCAATTGAAAAAGGATAGGATTTATGATTTATTTATCATTTTCTTGTCGGTTTTGATAACGTCTTAAGTTGTATTGGAAAAATTGCGTTTTTTAACACTAGCGCATCGAAAATAAAAACAACAAAGATAACGAAGACAAAAACAACGGCTCGGTTAAAGAACCACACGCCAATTAAACTATATAGGACGGATAAAAAATATCAATTGTTTTTCTGCACAGGATTTTAACAATGCACACAATTCCTGTATGCATTTAGAAGCTCTTGATACAGTTCATATCGTTTTCAAACTGCGTTAAAAAAAATTCATATATAAAAAGTTTAAGAATTTTAGTTGATAAAAATGTATACATATAGAGCGCTAAGAAACTCAATTTAACGAAAAAATTGAGGAGACCGCCAACATTCAAATTTTGAATTTACTTTATATATTTTTTCAACTTGCTTAACATTACATAGCTTCTTTATTGCAGATATTGCATTGCAACTATTTCACATGATTAAGGCAACTGACGTGAAAGTTAAGTATATAGCCAAAGCTGCACTGAAAATCCGCAGCAAAACAGGCACATAAAAATAATAAATTAACAGACAACATCTTTACATTAATCCAAATAAAATTATTACTAGAAGGTATTAGGGGTTTTCATTTGAAAATATATTTTCTTGTGGTTTCCTGAATTTTAATTAAACACTGTATTAATAGAAATTAAAGTGTTCCAAAAAAGGTAATAAAGTAGGTGTTTCTCACTGAACTTGTTTTAAGAATGTTTATATTTCTTTTAGTGCATTTCGTTTTTGACTTAAAATTTTAAATATCTCAAAAACAGTTAGATCTACGAAAGTGAGGAGAAAGAGAAACACTCAAATTGTTATTAATTACAAGGAACTTGATTCCTGTTGGTGCACTTGAGACTTAAAAGCTGTACGCTGTAGGTGAAATGCTCAAAGCTCAAGTCGTTTTACGACTGATCAAGAGCGATTAAGTACATTTGGTATAGAAAAACCCACACTAAGGCAAACAATCATAATTTATTGAAATGTTTCAGAGAGAAGTTGTTATGAATCATGAATCAGCACATCTAGAATTAGTGCAGAAAACCTGGCGTCCTTATATTTATGTTTCACTAGAGTCTCTGTTGAGCGAGAGACCCAATTGTTGAATAGCAAGCAAACCGAAAAACCATTTTTGCGTTAAAACGATGAATGCACCAAATAAAAAATTCTGGTAGTTTTTGTAGCAGCACAATCAAGAATTCACGACTTTTCCAAAGCGGATAAACTCAATTCCTTGACTTTTACATAAACTTCAGTTTTGCATAAGAACAAATTCACAGCAAGTTTTATTAAAATCCATAGAACAATTTCTCCGATATTTAAAAAAACATAATTTTTTTGAACAGCCCTGACCATCCATTTGACCACCATCAGATGGGCCGGACATTTTCTCTTAATAAAAGCAAAAATCAGATCAAATAATGATCCAGTGCCATTTTGATCGTGTTCCTACAGGACAGCCTCTGTAGAGTAATTAAAATTAAATGTCCACGATTGCTAACTTTTTTCTTCGACTTTTTCTCTATGATTTGCATTTAATTCTCTAACATTTTAAATAAAGGAAAATATATACCTACTTAGTTTTAATTAAGTGATGCCGACTGGGTTGAAAGCTTTTGCGCAAGAACTAAAGATTGTTTACTTAGGTAAAGTGTAAATTTGCAAACGAGTGGTATTTTTGTCCACGAGTGTCAAGCGAAAACCAATTCATCATCGTATTTTCTCGATCTAAAGTAAAGTTATAATTATTAAAAACGTAAAGCATTTCCTGTGATATTTTTTTCAAATTATAATAAATTTTTAAATAATGACTTCAATAATGAAGCAAAAACATAACCGTTTAGTTGAAAGTAAAAATATGTTTTTTGATTATTGCCAAAGCAAAAAATTACATAGATCTTTAAAGATGGTCAAACATGTGCCTTTGCTGAATAATACACTATTAGGACGCTTTTTCACGACACAAACTCGGTTAGGCAATCTTCTAACTTTTGCTTAAGAAGGTCATCGGTTAAGAAATGCCACGAAAATCAAACGGTGTTAAGTCAGGTGCTTGCGGTGGGTCCGGAATAAGACTTTTAGTTTCGATAAATTCGGTCTGAAAGATTGTGTTCAGTAGTTGATAAATTGTAGCTCTGGAGTGAATAAGTGCACCATCCTGCAGCATATATTGATTATCTCGACTTATTGGTTTGCCTAAGAAATTTTTAAGGGTTTCAGTCATAATGGTGATCTATTGTCATAGACAAACAATTCAATAAATGTGTTTGATCAGTCCATAAAGTAAAACAAAAATTATTTAGGCCGTAGAAGTTAAAATTATTCTCCTTATCGGATACCAAACTGCCCCTGCTGCCTATTTGACAATGTGTAATTCTCGTTGCTGTTCATTGGCTCTTTAAAAACTTCCGATAGTCTCTTTTCCAGACGAAAAAGGCACACAAAGACCTCACATAAAATAACGTTGTGCCTGACCTGTGGACAAAACATTTGCGTGTTATTAAAAACATAATTAAAAAGCGCATCTTTTATCGGTGCCCAAGCTTCTGTTTTACTATCCATACCATTTTTTACAAAGTTGCCCATCAACTTAGCATAAAAGTTTCCCTAACTCTCCAGAGTGGTTCCCCTGCTGAAAATTGTGCAACTTTTTAAATGTCTGCATAAAATCGGCGATTTATTCTTTAGATTAGGATAGGTCCTGGATCGACCTACCCTATCCTACCACCGTTGTGTGAACCTCCCATTTTGTCATCCACGCTAGGTCATGAGGAACCGGCGCACCCAAAGACCTCTTCTGGATCGATGTGCAGAGGGTTGTCGATTTCTGTGTCGTCTTCTCACTGTCGGCATTTCACGCAAACATCCCTTTGCTATCACAACTTGCGTCGGTCTGGGGGTGGAAATACGCGAAGTTTTATCGGGGAAACGCGCGCGTTTTGCGGTTTTTTCAGATGGGTTTTCAAACTGTTTAACTGTGAACGATCTGACTGTTTTTTTGTGAACTAAAACGTGTTTTCTTTAGCAGATGCGCTTGTTTGCTCAACACGGAACTTGATAGTGTTTCGCTATTTGCCCTCAAGGTATTCATCTGGATTATTGGAGTGTGCTTTAGTTTGAAAGTTGAAAAACTTGCTAGGAAACATATGTATATCTAGATAAAACTGCATGAATGGGAGTAAAATACGTGTTTTTTTAAAGACACCAAGTAATTGCTTTAAATGTGACAA